AGGGCCTTACCCAAACTGTTGCCACAAAATTGGAAGCATAGAGTCGTCTAGAATGTCATTGTATGCTGTAGTGTTAAGATTTCCCTTCACTGGAACTAAGGGCCTAGCCCAAACAATGAAAAACAGCCCCAGACCATTATTCCTCCTCCACCAAACTTTACAGTTGGCACTATACATTGGGGCAGGTAGCGTTCTCCTGGCTTCCGCCAAAAACCCAGATTTGTCTGTTGGACTGCCATATGGTGAAGCGTGATTCATCACTCCAAAGAACACGTTTCCATTACTCCAGAGTCCAATGGCGGCGAGCTTTACACCACTCCAGGCGACACTTGGCATTGTGCATGGTGATCTTAGGCTTGTGTGCGGCTGCTTGGCCATGGAAACCCATTTCAGTAAGCTCCCGACGAACAGTTCTTAATAATAATAATTGGTCATTTAGCAGACGCTCTTATCCAGAGCGACTTACAGGAGCAATTAGGGTTAAGTGCCTTGCTCAAGGGCACATCGACAGATTTTTCACCTAGTCGGCTCGGGGATTAGAACCAGCGACCTTTCGGTTACTGGCACAACGCTCTTAACCACTGCTGAAGTTGCTTCCAGAGGCAGTTTGGAACTCGGTAGTGAGTGTTGCAACTGAGGACAGGCGATTTTTCCGCGCTACATGCTTCAGCACTCGGCGGTCCCGTTCTGTGAGCTTGTGTGGCCAACCACTTCTCAGCTGAGCTGTTGTTGCTCCTAGATGTTTCCACTTCACAATAACAGCGCTTACAGTTGACCGGGGCAGCTCTAGCAGGGCAGAAATGTGACGAACTGACTTGTTGGAAAGGTGGCATCCTATGACGGTGCCACGTTGAAAGTCACTGAGCTTTTCAGTAAGGCCATTCTACTGCCAATGTTTGTCTATGGAGATTGTATGGCTTTGTGCTTGATTTTATACACCTGTCAGCAATGGGTGTCGCTGAAACAGCCGAATCCACTAATTTGAAGGGGTGTCCATATACTTTTGTATATATAGTGTATTTTGTGGAAAAGAGATGTTGTATGTTTCTAAATGATGCACCATGCTGCCTTGTTAACAATATGACAGAGCGGTGCAGATTACTGTTCAATTTGAGAAGGGCGCTCCTCCCTCACCATTTTTGCACATTCATGTCACGGGCCATAGACCGGTGCACTGAGGTTCAGCTTAATCGAACTCCCTCAATTTGACCCATATTGGGAGATGTAATGATCCTGTTTTTTGGAACATCTGAATGGTCATGCAGAGGGATTCATTGCATACATAATGGGGCCATGAAAGGATTGCATGCTTGTCTTGTAAAGCCCATATATTTTGTTTTCAGATGCATTCTCAGATTGTCTCTAGGACTAGGCAAATGTTGTACTGTGAGCAACTTTGGCTGCATTTACACAGGCAGCCTAATTCTTTTTCCACCAACTGGTCTTTTGACCAATCAGATCAGCTCTGCCTGCAAATGTTTTACGATGTCTGCTCAAACGTAATCAACAATATTGACGTTGTAGACTAGCTGGAACTTAATGAAACAACAGCAATAATCATGCAAGCGTTGTTAGCTAGTTTAAATAATTTATGTAAGTATTTTTTAACAGAAACAATGTAATAATCATTTCTACATTAGATTCTGCTCTATGTAAGTGTGGATGTCTTTGATTTAATACAAATGTTCTGCTTCTTTGGATATCTGCAGTTGATCTGATTTGATCCCCACACAGAGTGCACTTAATCACATTTTGTTTATTCAAAATATAGTCTTGAGGTTTGGCAAATGTACTATGCTTGACCAGTCTCATTTTAGGAATAGAATGTAGAATGTTACGGCTTGCTTGACATTATGTATCAGAGGAAAAACAAATGTATTATGATAATGGGGTTGTTATACCTGTATCTGCCACCAGATGGATTCCAAATACTGTCCAATCTTGGGTGCCTTCCATACAGCGCTGCTGCTTTACTCAGCAGTGCCTATCCTTCAGGCATTTAGATGTTAAAACATTACAAATCACTTTTTATGTTTAAATGCACCCACAAAAGAGAGAGATGGACCCAAGGTGGTAGATAAGTCAGAAAGACTTTGAACAACGGCTTTGTCTCAAGTGTCATATTGATTTTTAAAAAAAAAATTTTTAGTCATTTAGCAGACGCTCTTATCCAGAGCAATTAGGATTAAGTGCCTTGCTCAAGGGCACATCGACAGATTTTTCACCTAGTCAGCTCGGGGATTAGAACCAGCGACCTTTCGGTTACTGGCACAACGCTCTTAACCACTAAGCTACCTGCCGCCCACTGAAGACCATCATGAGTTAGAATTTATACAAATGTATAACTGGACTAGTTACTAATGGAGTTACTGACAGTCATAAAGGGGATCAGGTGAATAATTCCATGTAATCTAAATCAAAGATTTTATTCATGTTTTCCTGAAATTATTTTCTAATATATTTCTACAATTTGTATTATCTCTGCTGGGTGTCTTTATGTTTGTCCGGAATAGGCCTAAGTGCTCCTTAGAAATGTTGTAGGTCTATAGACTACCGCCCAATTTAAAGATCTCTCAGCATGTCAATTGAACAAGTCTACATGAATCAGAGGTATAGGAGGTAACAGCATGTCAGCGTCCTATTTCTTTCACAAGAAGAAACAAATCCTCACCCTCTAAACTTTTTACAGTTGAGAATGGCATCAAACAGCCTCTCGTCATTCTCACACACTGTTCGTGTTGTCATTTCATCACTTTTCCTTATGTTATTAAACGCAACCAACCTAAACCAATGTATACTTCTCTGGCTCAGTGTAGGTGGCCATTCCTCTAATTTCTCCCCCCCCCACCCCCCCACCCCCACCCCCGCCCCTCCGGTATCCAGCCTTCAGTATTTCTCTCACCAGGATTGGCCTCCCAACCGTGACCCCCCAACCCCCCACTGGCACCCCAATTGTTGGCAGGGCAATTGTGTGTGCGGGAGGCTCGTAAAGGGCCCTGCCTGGGTTCCTCTGCCCTGTGACGGATAGCTGGGAGACCGCAGGGCCAATTTACATGAGAAGAGCCGGAGGAGAGAGCGATGAATAGAGCGACTTTCAATCTGCTTGTCTCTGAGGACTTTCTCTTCCAACCACCAACCCCCCATCACCAACCCTTTGTTTGTGCAACTCTCTCTGTTTCTTGGCCTCCATCTCTTTCTTCCCCTCTACCTCTTCACTTCATTTTCCTTTGCCTCAAATCTGTCATTGCCAATCTAATTTTTTTCTTATGTATATAATGCTCGAGGCTTTCAAATCTCACCCCCTCTGTCCTGTCGGTCTTTTATTTGTCCACTTTAATGCTGAATTGATTGTCACCATCACAACACCAGGAGACATAAATGTGTTTCCTCTATTTCCCCCATCTTCTGCTCACAATATGAATGACCCTAGCACAATAGGGGAGGCATACTCCAAGTACAAATAGTCAAATCAATTGCATAATGGCTATATTATCTTGGCAATTGGAACTAGCTAGTCCAAATAGATTGGATAATGGCTGTATTATTGTGGACTTTCAGTCCAAATTAACAGATCGATCTCTCAACCAACCAAATCTCCCTGATGCCAAGGGGGACTGGGATTGTTGTGCACATTGTGGTCAATTTTTTTGTTATATTTGTCATCATCCTATTTGATTGTATCACTCTATCATTCTACTTGTATCACTCTACTCAGTGCTTGAAGTGGACTGAAATCGTAGGTGCCAGTTAGCACTCGTTTTGGGTGCCGGCCCAGCAGACTTTATATGTAGGTGTCAGTACATATCATATTTTATTGCCTGTATTCTATAAGAGGTGCCGGTACACCGGTGGGCACCAGCTCAATTCAAACACTGACTCTTAATCCTGCAAAGCATAATGAATGAGCTATTTACTGATGGATGGCTATGGGCAAACACCTAACCCACAATGGAGGTGTAAAGTGGTGACCATAGAAACTAGAATAAAGTGTAATGGGTAGCTACTAGTAATGTCACACCTAGCCTCATTTTAGAACAGCAGGGAGCTGCTACTGGATAGAGGGGGCATGGACCATGCATGGGCTATACTGTGAAATGGATCCTGTTTTGTTGACATACTTTCTCTCTGAAAAAATAGGCCTACCAGGCATTTGACAATGGAATCCAATGGAATGTACATTGTAATATGTTATTAGGTCTTTCCAATATGCTACAGATGTCATTCCGATATGACATTGAATTGAAAAGCCTAAACTTATTTTGATTATTGTCAACAGGTGTCATTAATGTAGTGGCCAATATTATGGAGAAAGATCTGAAATAAAAATATTATGTACCTTAAGTAAATAAGAATGATGAATCTGAACATTTAAACTAGTTTTTTTGAAGTTTGTATTGGAGAGAGAATTGGGTGAGGGTTCCCTGCCTCCTCCCTCCCTTGCCTTAAACATGTCTGTTGGCCAATGTTATGGAGAGAAGCCTGAAACAAAACGATTCTTTATCTTAAATAAACAAGAACTATATAATCAGTTTAACAAACTAAAGTTTGTAGTTTGTATTGCAGAGCGAGAGAGAAGGGTGCCCTTCCTCCCTCCCACAGCGATTCCTCCTCTCTTCATATTCACTCAAGTGCATTCCAAATTCACCGCACCCCTTCTATAGTGATGTAAATGAGTGGGCTGGAGGGAGGGAAGTTAGGAGCAGATTTGCTTGTGTAGAAGTTTTATAATCACCAGCTACCAGTGGGAGAGGGAGTTTTGATTTCAAGAAGGAACTCTACAGCAGTATCTCTAGATCGCTCTTCTCATTGTAGCTTAAAGGCCTGCATCTGAATAGTGAGTTGGTAGCAGGATGTTTTTGCTCAGATTTTGTTTCCATCTCTGACAATTTGTTTTATTATTATTGTTTTCAACTTGCGGCTTGGGATGCTTGGTTGACATTACACAGCAGGTGTAATTTTAAAACTCTGTTCAAACTTTGTATATTTCGTTTATGGTAAATATGTATAACATTATAGAGCACCAACTCAAGTCCTCTGTTCCCTCACATCATCCTGGAACAGGAATGCCACCTGCGAACGGAGTAGGGGGGCACGGGGGTGGCCACACAGGTTCCAAATCACCGGCAATCCAACCTGACCCGATGGACAAAGTCAAGCGGCCCATGAATGCCTTCATGGTCTGGTCTCGCGGTGAGCGAAGGAAAATGGCTCAGGAAAATCCCAAAATGCACAATTCTGAGATATCCAAACGACTGGGTGTCGCGTGGAAATCTCTTACAGACGCCGAGAAAAGGCCCTTCATTGACGAGGCAAAGCGCCTCCGCGCCGTGCACATGAAGGATTATCCAGACTACAAATACAAGCCCCGTCGTAAAACCAAACCGATTCCGAAGAACAATACTCTAGCCGCGCAGTATCAGATGTCGGCCGGTAACCACCTGCTGAGTGCGTCCGCGGCTCAGGGACAAGTTGGAAACCCCAGAATGGATGCATATGGCTGGGGCCACACAGGGGGCTACACTGCGGCGATGCAGAGCGAGGCACTCGGCTACAGCCAGCAGCTTCACCGCTACGACCTGTCAGCACTTCAGTATCAGTCCAGCATGGCCCAGGCCCAAGCCTACATGAATGGTGCCAACGCATACAGGTGAGTCTAGATTGTTACCTTTTCTGTGATTTGAATTGCTGTCTACAGTGTATTCACCTATATTTTCTTTCCAATGTACAAATGGCAGTTATAGGCCTAAGCTGTTATTGAATCAACAAAACCCATGGCCAGGTGGTTTTATTGGCGCTAATAGTCTATTCCCATCTTGTCCATTTATTTTTGGTCAGTGACCCCTTTGTGACTTTTTGAAGTCCTAGTTACTCTCGTTAATTTGTCTCAATTGATTTGTAACCCAATCTCCAATCTCTCGCCCCCAGCCCCATGTCCTACAGCAGCAGCCCCCAGCAGGTCAGCCCAGTGATGTCCATGGTGAAGCAGCAGTCTGATAGCCACAGCATGTCCCCCTCCCCCACCGGGCCCCACAGCCCCCTCCAGCAGCACCATCACCAGGCCCACCAGCAGCACCAGACCCAGCGTGGTGTCCAGGGAGAACATCTCAGGGACATGATCAGCATGTACATGCCTGGGGGAGATGCCTCAGAGGCCCAGAGAGGGTACTCCGTCTCTGCAGCAAACATCCAGCAGCATTACCTGGGAGGGTCAGCTCCACTCACCCACCTTTGAATTCACTCTCACGCACCTCTAAGCTGAACTCACCAACTCGCACACCTCTGAACTGAGACATTACACTGATTCAAACAACCTTGTATCATGCTGGTTGAAGTGCTGTCGACTCCCCTCCTAACTCTTGTTGGAGCCCCTTATCCACATCTGACCTCCTGGATCTGACACTGATATTGTGGAAGTCCAGAAGGATGGATGTTGGCAAACAACCTGATCTGACTTGATATGCTGGGATTGACTGGTGGCAGCCCAATGGGGTCAGTAAACGTGCAGGGACTGAAGAAAGAAAATAATATTAATTTTTATACAAAGATGAGATCATTCACTGACTGACACGGACAATATTGTGTGACAAGATGATGATGTCATCATTGGTCATTGATTGGTTGAATGGTTTCAGTGTACGTTCCAGTTGGAATGCCTTGATGGTTATGAGTGATTGCAAACCCCCAGAAATTGTCCCATTCTGCTATTTCTCTAAACCCACCGTCTAAAAGAGTTTTAATGACTGCAATGGGAACTCAAAAAGTTGGAGTGGACGTATTACATTTTGTTTTCATGAATTCTGAACAAAATGGCTTTGACGTTGACAATCCCAAATGTTTCTCTCAGACAACTGCCATTTCTATATCCGTTCAGAAAAGGAATTTACCTCTAAATGGGTCTACACCCTGTAATTTATATAAAAGTTAAACAGCAGTTGGTTTTTTCCACTTTTTGAAACACAAAACGGAACCAATATTTGAGGATTTTGTTAGTGTTTAGTTTAAATCAATGCTGCTTTTCTGAGGTTCAGGCCTTATTTACAGTTGTGAAATGTATTGAATGTTTTTATTAATACCTTCTAGTAAGAGTATTGTTATTTCAAGTCACTTGACAACAATTATGTAAAAAAAAAAAAGTAATAAAGAATGTTATTATTTTTCTATTTTCTACTGTCACATAATGTGCCTATGATAAATTCCTAAACTAACACCATTTACATAAAACATAACTAAAGTCTACCAATGCAACCGTGGAATAAATTCAAGGCCTATATGATTTAACATAGAGACAGGAGAAACTTTCTCCAGGCCTTTGCCCGTTTCTCTTTCCCAACAGAAAAGGAGAGTGGAAGGCCATCCAACTCCAGAGCATAATTACCCGTTTCGGTAAATCTCATTGTTCTCTCACTGCTTTAGAGCATGCAGGTGCACACAGTAAACCGTGGTTCTCAGCGTGTCTTATGGCGGGCTTTGTCCTCTTTTCTCTGGGTGCCCCATGGGGCAGAAAATTAGCGTTGCATTGAGTGCCCCTTCTTCCTTATCCCACAGTCCAGGCTTAACCCTTTCCCTGCCCCTCACCATTCTCATGGAAATAAGGTCTGCCATCACATCACTGACTGACTAGTCAAGCTAGGCTAGGGAATGTCCTAGGGTAGGCCATGGATTCATATTAGCGGAACTCAACAACCTATTGTGACAAAACAATTTCCTTAACTGAAGACAGTTAGTTCAAATATTTTTTTATAAAATATTGTCTTAATTGGGGCAACTAGGAACATGTAAACTAACAGAGTGAGAGTCTGCATGTAAGCTATACTCTCTTTTGGAGGAAGGGAGGGAGGGGGGGTGGACCCCAAAGGAAGGGGGGTCCACTATTCTGAAGAAATCTCCTAGCAACAGACAGTCTTCCACAGGTTGTTGTTACCAAGGGATACCCCTGTCACCAAACTACCCCCTCCAGTTAAATGACTATGCCACTCCAAAGACACTCTTGTCCTCTTGCATCACAGCAAAACAACTCTAATCCTACCCACCCAACATTCGTTTGTAGATGTAAATTATGTAGGCCTAGACAGCACAATTCAACAATTGTATAATATGCAATTGATAGTTAAACATTGATCTGTGAACCTGATGATCAAACTGATGATGTTAAAGGATAACGTAATGTGTGTGTAAGGGGTTTACGGTTAAGATCTAGACAGAAGGCTTTCATATCTGCGGCCAAAAAAAATCACATTTGGGCCGTTCCTTGAAATGAGTGCCTTTTTGCGTCCCTTTGATATTTTAAGTAGAAATTGTGCACAAATATTGAATTTTAAAAGCCTGTTATATTAAATTAAGTGCCTATTAATTTAAACCACATGGAAAATTCAATACGTGATTTTTAATATGAATTAAGACTTGCTAAAGTGCCACAATTCTGCATTTTGACATGTCCCTCTGTGAATCCTATGTGATTTCTATGAGGATTTAACCCACTTAACCCCAACATTCTCCAAGTTTTCACCATCATTGTAAAGCCCTAGTTATCCTGTTGCTTTGAGAGTCATTTCTGAAGATTATTAGTTGTTTAATGTGATTAGTGATTCATTTTAAGGTCAACCCTGTTACGAGAACTGAACTCATTTTAATATGTATGAAACTATTCCTTTTAAAATATTTTTTCAAAAGAAGCATATAATAGTCAAATAAGTGTTAAAGCAGGTGAGCTGGTTCTACTCTTTTTTTGGGTTGTTGTGGTGGTGGAAAACTGAGCATAACACGTCAACCCTGTTACCCATAGATAGACAGACTAGAAATGTTTTAACAATGTAATTTGTTTAGTGAAGCTTGCATTCAATTGCCCCTCCCTGCTGCACACGACAAGCTTCCATTCCCCCTGTCACAAGAGCATTCATGGATGATTTAAGAGGAAGTCGTCAACCCTGTTACTTTATTTGGTACTTAATAGGCACTTATTGTAGTAATTTTTTTATTGAACTTCTTGAGATGGGAAAACTTGTTTTTATTAAGTTGAACATGTGCTATTTATGATAGTATATTTAAATTAGGTTAAATAAAAGGGCTTTTTCACCAAGTTACACTACTTAAAAGGCACCTAATTGGTGGAAGGACCCATTTAGTTTCAAATACTTATTCAATTGTTTTTTTAAATTTCCTTTAGGTTAGAGCGAGGGAATGAATAAAACGTGCACAAGCAAGAGCCACTCCCATGTGCATTGGGCAGACAGGGTAGTTTTACCCAAGTCATAATGAACAATGTTTTGGGGGCAGGCAGGCAGACAGCAGGTGAGTGCTATGAGTGGGCGTCTTCTAGAGTTAGTAGAATGGCTGCCACGCTTCAGTGGTATGTGACAAGAGGGGGCTGGATCTGCAGCATATTTTACCACAACTGTGAACAGTCACCAAAGATCAGGGCTGTGCTCTGTCACGGGTGACAAGCTGGCATGGCAGCCGTTTGTGTGTGTGTGTGGCCAGGGCCATGTGTGATGGTGGAGATAGGGAAAGGTGTTGTGTCTGGCTCCCACATAATACACCTCTGCCTCAGAAGTCATTAGCTGGTCAAAGCAAACAGTCATCTCCATTTTCTACAGAACAATGTGAAAACACTGAAGATACTCAAGCACTCCACGAAATAGCTAAATTACACGTCAGTTGTCAATCAACTTGCAACTGATGAGAAGTGTCGTAAGGGTAGTAAATACATCCCTATTACATAAATGGTTTCAGAGAAACCTGGTGACTAAATTTATGATGGTTAAGATTTTGGTTCTGAATAATGGTCTTTGGACCAACTGGAACGATGGACTCATGACAATCTCTTACCCCCAAAACTGGGCTGATTTTAGTTCAAACGAATCACTCTGACAATTATCTTCTACCCCCATTCTAGAAGCATTGGAAGGTGTGTTTCCAGTGTAAACTCACTGCTCCACTCCCACCACCACCACAGCTGTACTTTAGTTCTCACAGGGAGAGAGGGACCACCCTAAGGTTGGGCTGGGGCTGGACTGGTCTATCCAGTTCTCAGTCTCCCCATGACGTGCCACACCACACAAAGCCAACACATCGAGGTCAACAACTCACACAATTCCCGCCCAAGAAACATGGCGTGGAGTTAGCACAGGTGTTCCTCAAATGAATGCACCGGTAAACCCACGTTTTGTTCAGGCACGCAAACAGACCCGTTTTTTTGTTGAGTTGATCCCTCCAAAAACTTTCACAGCACTCAACTGATTTCTTAGAAAGGCTGGCTGTGCTTAGATGTTCTCTTGTATACACATTTTCATGGAATTGTCTCTTAATTTAATTCTAACGTGTTAGTCCTAGAAAATAAAATGTTATTGTAATACATTACATTTTAGTCATTTAGCAGACGCTCTTATCCAGAGCGACTTACAGTTAGTGCATACATTATTTTTATATACTGGCCCCCTGTGGGAATCGAACCCACAACCCTGGCGTTGAAAACGCCATGCTCTACCAACTGAGCTACATCCCTGCCGGCCATTCCCTCCCCTACCCTGGACGACACTGGGACAATTGCGCGCCGCCCCATGGGTCTCCCGGTCGCGGCCGACTACGACAGAGCCTGGTTTTGAACCAGGATCTCTAGTGGCACAGCTAGCACTGCGTTGCAGTGCCTTAGACCACTGCGCCACTCGGGAGACACTTTTGCAAACCCTAACTAAACAAAACGTGGACAAGTATTGGCCACAGGGACATGGACACAAATATCCTTCGATCAGATCTGTGAAGGGTGAGGCTGTACACGGCACATCAAAAAGCAGCCTAAAGGCATAGAAACTCACTGACGCATTCATGCGTCAGAGAGATTGGAGACACATGAGCTTGTACAGGTAGATAAGGACAGGACAACACATTGGGCCACAAGAGTTCCAGCAGATATGAAGCTTAACTTCAAGAGAAGACCTCCCAAGATGATGGCCAGGTGAAAAAAAAAACATTTCCACAGCCTTCCACACAAACAAATAAGATCATTACATGTTTGCACCCACACAGTGAGACTACCTTTCTCATTAAAGGCCTAGTGCAGTCAAAAACATGATTTTATATATATTTCCACACTATGAGGTTGGAATAATACTGTGATATTGTGAAAATTATGATAATGCCCTTTTAGTGTAAGAGCTGTTTGAAAAGACAGCCTGTAATTTCAGCCAGTTTTGGTGGGAGGGAGTTTAGGCCTTCCATGGTGACATCACCATGCAGTAAATTAGTTAATAGACCAATAAGAAACAGTTCCAAACCTCTCTGCCAATAACAGCTAATTTTCAGTTTTCCCCTCCCCACTCAAACCACTCACAGACAGTCCTAGCAAAATTATTGCTTGAGAAATTGCTCTTTGCTAAGAAGCTATTTTAGTTTATTTTTGACCATTTGAATTGAAAACAATCATAGTAAGGTACTTCATTGTTGCCCAGAAATGATTTGATATTGAGATAAAAACGGCTGCATTGGACCTTTAATGATGTTAGTGCATTCAACTGTAAAGCTGGCCATGATGCCACTGCTCTGGTTGCTGTAGGGTCAACCCAGTAATAGAGTACATTTTGGGTAGTGTAACTTGGTCAAAATAAACTTTTAATATGACCTAATTTTTACATTGTCATAAAGAGCACTTGTTCAACTTCATAAAAAACATGTTTTCCCATCTCATAAACAAATAAACAAAATGACTATTGTAAGTGCCAATAAAGTAACAGGACTGACCATAACAGGGTTGAGGTTCATCTTAAAATCAGCCATCAAATCCCCTTGTGACAGAGGGAATGGAAACTTTGGTGCAACAGGGAGCGGCAATTGAATTCAAGCTTCACAATGTTTTTAAAATAGTTAAAAACATTATCTATGGGTAACAGGGTTGACATGTTATGCTCAACGCGCTCAGTTTTCCACCACAAAACAACAGAAAATGGCCAAAAAGAGTAGAACCAGCTCACCTGCTTTTACACAGTGATTTGACTATTATGTTCAGATTATTTAATTTTTTTAAGGAATAGTTTCACCAAATTAAAATGAGACTTCAGTTCACATGATAGGGTTGACCTTAAAATGAGGGACAGACATTAATTAATCACTAATCAC